CAAAAATTTAAAAATCTTACATAGTGTAAATTACATATAGCGCTGCATTATGATATTAAATCATATGATGTGCAACACCCCAAACGCACATGCGCTTTAAATTTTATATAATATATAATAAAAAAAATACATAATAAAAAAATACATATATATACATGTATATAATGTCTTTAAAAATCCACCAACATAAAGTTTACGAAAATGATCTGACCGAGTTATGAAAACCAAAAAAATTAACTTTACATGACCAAAAAAATTTATTTATAGTTAAATTAGATAGCCCATGACACTAGCAGATCACTTTCTTCTTCATTAATAAAGGGCTTTTCAATAGTCTTGATCATCATATCACCACACAAAACACATTCTGAGGCTACTAAGTCATCCAACTCATCCTTTATTCATATAATCAAAGAACAATTGTCTAATAAGTACGAAATATATAATGATATATTAAGAAAAGAAATTATATATACCTTCAATTGATCAACCTTTGACACGACTACAGCTACATCATCACCACTGTGTGTAGCAACATCTGGTAATATCAACCCTTTTAACCGATCTAGACCTCCAGGCGCAAAAGAATTGCGTTCACGTGCTGTGTTATCTGGCGCACGATTAAAATTAGATATTTCTTTTGCTATTTGCTCTTGAAGTTCCAAAATTTTGCGAAGTTGGACGGTATTGAGATGCTTTGTAACCTAACAAAGAATCAAGGAGTAAATATTTAAATAACATGTAGGATAAATAGTAATAAAGTATACATTCTTACCTCTTGGATTAAACACTCAGAATGAAATGCATGTTGACACGGAAATATGTAAAATTGTCTTGTCAAGAGTTGAGAATCGCATAATGAACATTTCTCTCCGGACGTGACTATCGCAAATCTAACAAAATTATGTCTTTAAATACAAAAACATGCGAACAAAAAAAAAAAAAACCCCCCGAAAAGGTATCAACCCACCGACTTCGCAACTCCCGTATATCGTTTCGAATGCTGTCTGCACTTTTGGTTGCTTCTTCCATTTCTTGTTTTAAATCTTCGATGTGTGTTTTGTACTCCCCAAGAGCAGCGCATATTTCACTCTTAAATAAAAATAATAAGATTAGAAGAATTCAAAATACAAAAAACCAACGAATAATATAAGAATAATGAGAGAGAGAAAAAAAACCTTGAAATCATCAATTAGAACAAAGTCAGGGAAAAAGGGTAAAATATCTTCGATCTTAAGTAGTTCGCAACGCTGCAAAAAATTCATTGCCCTAAATAATAAAAATGTAAAACATTATTAATAAATCGATAGTAACGTTTTGGTTTTAAAATAAACAGCTTACATGCTAATATCTTGTTTTTTCTCAACCACGTGTCTCGCAATCTTAAGCCAAAGCTTTTTACGCAATGCTTCATCATCTTCTGGCTTGTCAGCATTGATACTTGCAAGCTCCAAATCATTATGCTATATGATGTATATATTAAATTTTACGGATAATTTCTATATTAAATTTTATGGATAATTATAAAATATGATTTTAACGTAATTAGATTGCATAAATGTCATACCTTTAAGGCTAGGTCAACAGCTTCCTCAAAAAGACCCATATTGCTATAGATATGTACACAACTTTGTGTCTTTCCATTCTGACTACAAAGTCTTAGTGCGTAGTCCATGTTATAATAAGGGTCTTTTCCCTGATAAACAAAAATTTGTTAATATAAAATTCTTATTGTTATTTATCAAAAATCATTAGGCATACTTCTGTAGCCAAAAATTTCAGCAGAGAGGACTCTTCATTATTTGATGTAGGTTGTGTGGCATATAATGTAAGAAGAAAATTGTGAATTGCCGGATCAGTGTTATTCAATTGCGTTACTACATAATGTAAATATCTTATAGCTTGATTCTATAATAAATTTGAATATCGAAATATTAAAAAAAAAAGACATTTTAAATTATGAAATATGAATTGAAAATATCAACATGTACTTGAGTAACGCCTTCTGAAGTTTTTGAGTGATCATATTTCAATAACGCAGGCATCAAGTTTCTAGGGTTGAGATTTGGTTGTCTCATCCAGACATTAACCGTTTCATATGGTGCATTTTCCATTAAAATTGGGGAAAATTTATAATAAACATCAATTGAAGCCTAAAAAATCGTAGACATCAGTTAACAATTGTAAATTGTCACGAATTTAAATACTATACAATAATAATGACTATACTTGTTTACTAAGGACATCTAAAGCTCGTTTATAATCTTTTTCTTGAATCCAATGAGAAATTACTTTGTCGTAATCGCCAATTAATTCAGCATAAAATAAAAGCTCATCCGTACGTCCATGACTAGCGATGAGATTGTATGTCGTTTGCTTGTCCAAATTTGTCTGAAATATTGGAAAGTGCATTAGCAAATATAAAACACATTTGTATAAAATCTAAAAATCATAAATAAATATAGATGCCTTGAACTGTTCTAGAAAATTTTGAAATTCCCCTTCTAAAGCTTGCTGTTCAGCTTTATAATTACTAGTGTCTTCGGAACCAGAACCTGATGCTGTTAAATCCTCAAGCATATTAATTTTACTAATATATATTTCGACGAGCCAAGTAGCAATCATTGTTTTCTGTGTCAAATCCTATTTATAAAAAATTAAACAAAAAAAAAAAAATTAATAAAAAAAGAAAATAAATAAATAAAATAAAATAAATCATTTTATTTACCGTACGCCGAAGCTTTTCCAATTTTTTCAATAAATAGTTCCTTAATGCATCTCTTTCATCTCGTTCTACAAATTTAAGCGCGACTTCTTCGAAAGGAACAGTGGATTGGGCGTAGTAAGTTGCCGATAAAAGGAATCGACATTGAGAAAAGTAATAATCTGCCTGAGTAGTAAGAACTTCATCACGTTGAGCAGGATTCTAGAATATAGTAATATATTAGTTTAGTGGGATGATAAGCAAAGCACGCATAATTTATATAAAATATAAATGATCTTAAATAATGATCTTAAATGATGACCTTGCAATATTGTATAGCAGTATCAAATTGTTGTTTTTCTAGATACAACTTCCATACGTCTCTATCTTCTTTTGATACAATAAGCTCAAATATGGAACAATCAGTATAAATCCAAAATGTATTCTTGACGCTATCTACGGCCATGCTTTTCACCTCCTCACCAGCTTTCTAACGATTACAAGCGGAGATTTCGATTCAGTATAGTAGAAAAAAAATAAGAATAAAGACCCTTATTGATATAATATTATCAATATAATATTATTTACAACATTATTCTAAAGACGCTTACAAGGGGGATAATTTCTTCATAAACTGTTTGATCATTTAACTGACAAATAGCTCTAACACGTTCTTTATATAACAAAATAAAATGAAATTCGGTAAGAGCAATTGACAAAGGATTTTCGGTGACCATGGTAGATGGATCATTTTCCGAAGGCATTGAAGGGTACCTAAATAATACATTTAGAATTATTTAGTCAATGAATGTTAAAGTACATAAATAATACAAACTAATACATACGGTAACAATTTTGCGCTATCAACCACATGGTCTTGAGACCCAAAGACAAGACTGCCATGATAAATGCCAGGGGCTAATTATACAATATATATTTTAATGTTATTATATTGCTGATATATTGTGTAAAATTATATATAAATAAACGTAACATTACTAGTCAACCACGCGAAATTTTTAGCCGATCCTTGATATTGTATATCTTGATATTGAGAAAAAAAGTGTAATTCACTGTATGGCAAGTTTCCGGGAATTTCCTGAAAGTCTAACAAAACAATAATAATAAAAATAAGATTGAATGTATTAAACATATGAGTGCGTTAGAGTGAAAACCTGTAACAAATCGTAGTAAATCATTAAATCTATTTCCAGGTTTTCACTCTCACGCACTCATATGATAAAAATTGGAAATAGAGTCTATTATAATACCTGGGCTATGTCCATATTTGGCAAACAGTCCCTCAAACATAGAGCTACCATCTATATCAACACCAGGGTTTGCGTGGCCTATGAATTGATATATTCTCGTAGGAGTTGTAGCTAATATGAAATATTTTCGAGGAATGGCAGGAAACTCTTCGACTCGAAGACCAGTAATAGGATGACTATCATTTAACGAATATACCTGAAATTTTTATTATGGTATTATATATTATATTATATTATTGATATATTCAATAAAATATTAATTAAATCATTTAAATGATTTTAATAGTCAAAAGAACCTGTCTGATGTATTTATCCCCTCCCCCTCTCTTAAAGTATTCATCGGTTGATTCTATTTCAGCTTCGTAAATCACACCATTACGACTTCCAATTAGAATCTTTTTGGTTGAAGTGTCAGAAATTCCTATGGTTTTATTCCATCCAACAGACTCAATTATTATACCCTAATTCCTCAACATAAATATATTATTTTAAAATCTTAATAATAGGAGATAAATGAATGGTTAAATTGTAAAAAATAACCTACTTTAAACTTTGTAAGAACTTTTGCTTTTTTCAATTTTTCAAATATATAAAAGTTTTCTCCTTGTTCGGTGGTAATAAGTAAATGTCGACCGGTTGGATCAAAGAATACTTTGTAGATCTTCACTTCGTTGGATTTACGTGGCATTTCGATATCTAACAAGCATCATTATATATAAAATGAAGCATGAAAAGTTTATAGACTTTTTATTCTCTTCAAGTATCATTAAAATTACAAAAAAAGAAAACATAAAAATAACATTTAAGACAAAACAATTAATTTTATATCGGTCCTCGATAGTATAATATCCAATTATTAATACCTTCAACATTGTGTGCTTGTTGTAAGTCAATTCTTAAGATATGATTTGATTCCAAGGCCATTACGAGAACATTATTTGATACAGCCATTGCAACCATTGGGGCTTGAGGTTGAAATTGAACACGATCTAAAGTAAAAATACCGGAATCGTCTTCAGCCAAACCAGCACTAACAAAACCAGTTTCTAACTAAGCGAGCATATATATAAGAATCAACATTAGCATGTTAAATAGTAAAGCTTAAAGAAATAATAGCAGTACAATACCATATGAACTGGATCGGCCGGCTCGAAACCCGGAACGTCCAAAAATAAGTTGCTAACATTAGACGGTGCCAGCACCTCATTTGATTGTTCTATGAAGTCGTCGATTAAAGACATTATAGCAAAAAAAGATCGAAAACTTTAGCAGATAAGATACATATTGAGTTTATCACAGAATAATGGTAACACAACCGAGTTTCACAACTTACGTACGTACACTTTGATAGAGATACATTTCGATATTTTTATTATATAGTACGCAAAAGATAGTTTCATAGTTTCATAGGCAAAATTTATTTTTATTTTTTTTTCGTTTGCATCTTACTATGTATAACATAGTTTAATTCATGGATTTGAACTATCGACTCGAGACGAATCATAATTCGCATAAATCCCAGCTTATTATACAAAATATCGTTATTTAAAACATAGCGCATTTTAAAAGAATTTCAAAAAAAATTTTTTTAATAACGCATTTATGGGCAAAAATACTATTCCTGATGGATCAGCAATACCGATCTTGATGGAGTTAAAAAAAAAATTTATTTGAGTACTGTTCCTGATAGAGTTCTAAAAACAAACCCTAATTCTAACTTTTTTTCATTATATAGTATAGTATTTTGGAGGCCCTTTTTTAGAACCCTATCAGGAACGGTATGTAAATCGAATTTTTTTCTCACCCTACCAGGAACAGTACCGACGATCCATCAGGAACGGTATTTTTGCCATTTATGGTTATACATCTTGTTCAGGAGCGTAAATCGAAAAAAAAAGGAAAAAACGAAAAAAAGATTCAAAGTATAAATAAAACTATACCCACTTTTTATTCTACACTAATAAATAATACGCTACGTCCCAAATCCTGAGATTCCATAAGTAGCATTATATTATGATGACTTTACTATGTAAAATACCTTTAAGACAACGAATAATAAAACGAAGTTGAAAACGGGTGAAAATACCAACTCCTAAATTGATATATTTTTTTTTTTTAGGGATGATAAGTAGTCCGCAGGGGGGTCGGGTTCTGGACTCATAGACAGCAATTCATCTGATTGGCTAGCGTAAATCAATTGCCCGGGTAATTTATTTATACACTTTAAAGTACTTTTGTGGAACGTAAAATTACACAAGTAACAAATCGTCAAAAATATCATTTTTAGAAAGTTACTTTAAAATTAATCTTTTATAATCTCAAACAAGGGTCGCGTTGGAGAGGATGCAGTTGCAGTGAGTAATTGGTGAATAAGGAAGTTGTGGGTGTGTGATTTTGTAAGGCAAATTTATATATAAGAACAAGAACTATTGGCACGTGATTTGTATCACTTGCAGAAATAAGTAATTCCGTCTCCCTTGA